GAAATCCTACGGTTGACTTTATTAGGATTGTTTGGTCCTGCATATGACATGTTCGGTGATATTTTTGTGTTTGGTAAACAGATACCTTTCGTCTATTGACATGCTTACCTCTCTCTTAATCTTAAGCAGGACCAAAATGCCTGTTAATGAAGTCACCATGCTAATGAAGAAGGGTAAAAGTTTTGAATTCCTACCTGAGGATCTGCAAATTACTATTCTGTCCAGAGTTAGTGCTAACGAAACCAGGAAGTTGAGGATGGTGTGTAAAGAGTTGAGAGACATGATTGATCACAATTCCCTCTTCCTGAGAGCCCAAGTCAAGATGAGTAGTGATGAATGCTCTTCTTTCTTGGTTCGCCGATATTTAGAGGATATTTTCGAAGACCTACTGGACGCATGGTTACAGTGAATTCAAGTCAGCCACTGAAATTACTGAGTTTGATAAAGCTCGTTATCTGAAGTTCTTGGGAAGCAACAGTGGGGTGGTATTTTTAGGTAGACAGAGCACTATTTTCTTGTGGAATTCCTGGATTTCTAAGTGTGTGAGAGTAGATAAAGAAGGATTATCAGCTTGCTCTATAAGTGTCGGAATTTACGAGAACAAAACAATCTTGGTTGGGATCTTTGAGAATCAGGGAAGATTTGAAGCGTATGTGGTCGGATTGGCTGCCAATGGTATATGGAGAAAAGTTAAAGAAGCTGCTACACTTCTGGATTGGTTCTCTAATGTTTCCAGTACCAATCTGTTTTTGAGAGAGACGTTTTTTTGCCTTGGACAGATTGGGAAGGGGAAGGCATTGCTCTCTCTTAACATTAGCACTAGTACAGTGGTATTAACAAATCTTCCTCCAGAAACAACTTAAAAACATCACACACTACTTGCTACTTTTGATATTTCCAGTGTTTCTTACCACTACAAAGTTTACTACTCCCTCTGTTTCAAATTATACGATGTTTAAGATAAAAGCACACATATTTAGGTAGTTTATTTTTTTTTTAGAAAATATGATTTGTTTTTAATAAAAACAAATCCCACCAATCATACAAAATACTGCAGAATATAAATGGTCACAAATGATCAAATGCATTTAAATTTGCATAGAAACTTGCAAAACATCCTATAATATGAAACAAAATAAAATATTTAAAACATCTTATATTTTGAAACAGAGAGAGTACCATATTTTCACAAATTGAATTCATACATTTTTATTATACTATATTGATCAACGATATTAAAAAAATCACACACTACTTGCTACTTTTGATATTCCCAGTGTTTCTTACCACTACAAAGTTTACTACCGTATTTTCACAAATTGAACTCATACATTTTTTAAATAATACTTTATAGAAACTATATTTTAAAAAGAAAATAATTTAAAAATTATCTTAATATATCACAATATCAAATAATAAAAATTAGAAACATAACTTATAATGATCAATAATATAATGTGATATATAACAAATATAAATTAAAAACAATATGCTTGCCCAATTCGTTTATGCTTCAAACATATTATTTTATTATGTCATTGATTGTCGCATTATTATATGCTAAAATTGTATACCATCTTTCATTTACTATCTTTTAATTTATTACTTGCAAACAATATACATAGAGAAATTTTTTTATTGCAATGATAATATTATGTAATCACTTCTTTCATAATGTTTAAGTCCACCCTCTTACCATCACAATAGTTAAAGATAAGTCAAATTGCTAAAAATCTATCTAAGAGGCTATATTGTATCTCACCTACAAAATACAAATAAAGTTCAGTAAAAAAATTTGATATTGATTTTCAAAAACAAAAATATTTTTATAAAGATTTCATGATCTAATAATTTTTACATGAAAATATTTAATATATTATTCACCGCGATATTTAGAGATCCAATACTTAAAGAATGTGTTCCTAATCTTTATCCATACATAAAATTAACATTAAAATTTCAATACTCTCATCGATAGCTAGCGCTATTTTTTTAGATGTCAATATTGTGTTGAAACCCATCATTCTTTTTCTTACAAACTTAGCATGCTTTAAATCCATCGCTTATCCAAGTTTTTATACTAATAAAAAGCATTTTACTCAACTAGTGAATTCTGAAATGTCTCTTTTTTTTAATCATAATATTGATTTACACATTGTAGTATACAGTATTTTATATGTTTCGTTGTACAATTTATGAATCATAGGACACATGATTATTTACTTTTTCTTTTAATTAATGTATAATTTTGAGATTTGTTATTTACAACGATTTGAAAGAGTTTTTATTTATTTATATATTTTCAGAAAACTCAAGTGTGACTTTTTTAATATCTACATCTTTTCGAAACTTTAATATGTTATATCTATTAAAAATAGTATTATACACCTTATAATAAAATTGCTAATATCAATCAGTAAGTTAAATATCTTCGTTATTCCGTAAAAGTTTTGGTCTTAGATATTAATGAAATTGCTAATATCATTTAGTATGACCTTTTAAAATACATAACTTAATATATTAATCAAATTTATATACATTCTAAAATCGATTAACAAATTCTAAAATATTAAATAAGACCAATTTTGAAAATTAATTTTCTTAAATATGAATTATATTATTACTAATAAAATACTTCACAGCTTTGTAGATATTGTTGCCAATATTCATTTATTGTACTTAACTTTTTTTGTTAAGAATAATTTTCATCTATATTTATTATAAGTAACAATAAATATAAATAGATTTGAATTAAATAAATATTTTCAATATATTTTAGTATTAAAAAAAGTGTTTTGCTTATGTATACATCATAGATAGAGATTTTTCTCCATCTAGATAAAGAAGAAGCAAATCAGGGAGCTGCCAACATGCCACTAATGATTTAAACCTAGAGGTGAATACATAACTAAAAGAGATAAAAATAAGATCTAACAATGTCATACATTTTGTTTTGTTTTGCAAAAGACTATTGTTTTGAGATTTGTTAAGGATATTGAGCAGCTTTAGAAATTTATTGTCCTCATTGGTGATATTTTGAATGAGGTAGTGACTGGTGACAAGATCAACACTATGTTGCTCCACGATGAGTTCAAGGAAATCAATATCATTAGTATTTTTAAACTTCACGACATGATCTGGCTTGAAAGCTCTGATAAACAGAATTTGTACAAAACAAAATAGTTTAGACAAGAGAAAACAAAACAATTATTAGAAAGCGTTTGATTGATGAATTTAGATTTTTGAAGCATGTCTGAAGCTATGATATGAGATATGCCCAAAAGTATGGTATAAAATTATTTTATTCATATTATAACTAAGAAAAAAAGAAGAAGAAAATACAATAGAGTATGGATGGCAGAGACGTTGGCATTGGCAAGAGTGATGCACCCTTTATTTTTAAGCTTTTTAAGTACTCTTCTCCTCACCTCGGTTTCTTGAAGCTTTCTCATATTTTTGTTCTCTTTATATAGTTAATTATATTTTTCAAACTGTGGATAATTTTAGTTATTCGAATTGTGATGGTTTTGAGATTATTGAAGACTAACCGTTATAGAGTTGATATGCATCACGAGAACAATGATCAAAGTTATTTGAGATGTTGTTGTAGTGTTATTTAGGATTTCCAAACTCAAATTAATAAAAACTTACGAATAAATGAAATTATACATGTGCATTGATGGGATGATGCGCTAATGTTCTTAGATTTATATGATTTTGAATATATAGTACTATTTAAGTATGTATTAATAAAGAGAAAATATTTTACAATAATATTGTATTTGTATAATTCTATTTCTAACATTTCTTTTCATTCAAAATGGTCGGATTTAAGGAAGAAAATAATTGATGTAAATAAAATATATATTTAAAGGTAGTTGAATTGATTTTTCTAAGTGTTAATAAAACTATTCTAGGGTTGGGAATAATATTCGAACCTGAGCACCCGATCCGAACTAGATCCGAAAAATTCGATCCGAATCCGAACCAAATATTTAAAATATCCAAACGGATTATATTGTGAATTATATTTGACTTCGTAATATTGATTTGCATTTTTCAAAGATGGATGGTAAATTTGCAAATATTAGCGATTTAGAGGATTTTTTGCACAAATTCCTTTTATAAAAGCAAAAATATGAGTTTTTATTTAATATTTTTTGGGAAAAAAAAAAGAAAGAAATAAATTTGTAAACACTTCTATATTTTTCGGACAATGTTGATATAAACACTTCTATAAACTTTGTAATTTATAATTAAATAACACCAACATTGAACACTTTAAAAGTTTGCTTGGTCTTTTAAGATAAATTTAATATATGTGCATAGCATAATAACACCAAGTAATTTAACATTCATAAATATGGAGTGATAATTTTAAGATAAAGCTATGCACATATATTAAATAATGAAGATACAAAAATATGGAGTGATAATTTTATTATAATAATTTTTTTAAATGATATCATGCAATAAACCGGAAGAAAGATGGGTGACAGTGAATACGGACGGTGCTTCGAGGGGTAACGGCGGGAGGCGCGGAAAGGAATGGAGCGGGTGAATGGTCTTCTTAACTAATGTCATATGCATTATTTAAATATCACACCATAATTATACCTCAACTCCTTCACAAGATATAAATACGGAGTGATAATTTAAGTAATTTTGCTATTAATAATCGTAAATGTCATAAATAAAAATCATGTAAAGCTTTTTAATATGTGAAACAAAAAGTGAATTCCAAAAATCTTTTACCAAACAAAAATCACTTTGTTTTTTTATATGTTAGGTGGAAGGAGGGGAGACATGAGTATCATCATATCCAGAAAAGGTAGATTAACCTTAGAGATCCCTCCAAACAAACTAATCTTCAGGGACACTTGTCCTCAATGAAATTAATTGCACCACAAACAAAAGATACATTCGTAATTTTATTTTAAGTCTTTTTCTTTAAAAGAAAGAAACATATAAAACCTCTCAATAAAGATCTCAGTCAATCTTTTTGTTCCATGTAAAAGGTAATCAAAAACTTCAAATTGGGTTATCTATTATTGTGTGTTTTGCCCAATGGAAAAATCAAGGCGAAAACTTTAATACTCCAAGACATTTTACTTTGTCACACCTTCTCTCTAAATTTGATCTTTCGCCAATGGAGCAAAAGATTTGATCTTTGGGAACATTTCGTTTTCTCAATAAAAGACATTCTCTCTCTCTTTCTCCTACCCAACCAACACCTTCTCTCTCTATACGTAGCGACAATAATTCTGGAACCTCCTCTACATTACAAAAAAACACCAATACACATACACACATACACACGTATACACATAACATTAGATATTATATATAAACATTTACACACTCTTCTTCTTCACACACACACACACACACTCTCCAAAATTGAAGCCCCCAATCAAAAATCTCAATCTCTCTTTAGGGTTCTTCTTCTTGTTCAATAAATTGAGTGAAAATTTCGAAACTTTCCATCTGGGTTTTGACTCTATCATAAAAATTCACAGAAATGGTGAGAGATGGTGAAGAAGAAGAAGAGATGATGATGATGATAGCAACAAAACCTGCATGGCTTGAAGGTTTAATGGCGGAAACTTTCTTCTCAAGCTGTGGAATCCACGAAACTCGCCGTAAAAGCGAAAAGAACGTTTTTTGCTTACTCTGTTGTCTCAGTGTTTGTCCTCACTGTCTCCCTGCACATCGCTCTCATCCTCTTCTTCAGGTAACCAAACTTAAAAAAAATTGAGAATTTTTTATGACCCATGATTCGATTCCTTGACAATTTCAATACCCATGTTTTTTTTTTGTGAATTTTAATTTTTTTTGTTTGTGATAAAATCTGTACTTACACTGAATCACTGTGTACGTATAGTTTTTTTTTGTTACTCGATTTCTCGAAGAAAATTCTCTCTCTTATAAGAGATGTTTGGATTGTAGCGAAATATGTATATACTCACACACGTTAGCAAATTGTTAAATTTAACCATAAACCCTTGTTTTTGGTTTTTATTGGTAATTTTCCTGGAAAATTCTCAATTCCGGGATTAGTCTGGAGTTTGGTTTGAGATTTCCCCGGTTAACAAAAAAAAATGCAAATTGTAGAGCTTTTGGAACTTGTACTATAAGAACTTTGTTTTTTAATGGAACTTTCATTATCACAAACTTTTTCTTCTCCCCAAAAACATGTTTTTTATAATGTTCACCTTCTTAAAAGACCCTTTAAGCCATCTTTCTAAATTTCTCATAATTTTTTTTTTAATTTTCCTCTAAGATTAAATTTTACATATTTAACCCATTAGGTCAAATTTGGTTTAATTACTTTAAAGAAATGATCATTTCTCTAATTATGTGCAGAGGTTTGAGAGCATGTATTAACAACATATATAGATTCATTTGTATCATGTATTTATGTGATGATAGTAATTGGACTTGAATTGTCTATTGTGTAGATTTGGTTTGTTTCTATATATAGTATGTATCTTTTTCACATCTTTTATTAATTCTTTCTCTTTTCAAATTGCTTGGTTCCTTTAAAATTTATTGTCTTCTCTGCTCAACTTCTATTGTGCTGTTGCTTTCAAAGAACTTCAAAGCTTTGACCAAATTCCTTTTCCTTCACTTCCCTTAACTTCTTTCCCACAGGTTTTTTTGTTTTTATCAATTTAAAATGTTTAATAATTTTCCACTATTCCCCAAAAAACATTATTGGTGCAAATCTATCCTTCTTCATAAAATTATAAGATTTATTTATTACCCTGTTGTTTGCTTCAGTAGAGATAAGGAGGATTTATTTTGTAAAGGAATTATGAATTTTATCCCATTAGTTTGAATTCTATCAATTAAGCCCTTTCGTTTATGAATTGGCAGGTGAGACGATACGTATACCACGACGTCGTTCGGCTGAGTGATCTTGAGAAGCTCATAGATTGTTCATATGTTCAGGTGAAATATTTTCTTGAAGGCTTTGATTTTGAGTTTAATTTGTTATACTGATTGAGAATTTTGTATATTCAGCCATATACAATTAATGGAGCCAAAGTGATATTCATAAACCAAAGACCACAATCAAGAGCTAAGGTTTCTTCAAATGTTTGCTTCACTTGTGTTAGAATCCTCCAAGAACCATTCCACTTTTGTTCCCTCTCTTGCAAGGTAATAATATTGCAAAAATATTTTGGAAATTATTTTACTCCTAGGTGAACCCTAATTATGAGATAACTTAAACCTTTTAATTTGAATTTATGTCCTTCCTAGTGCAATAAAAACATGAAAATTAGTTATAAGTTGTTGACATAGTTGACCCATAAATGATAAAAGTGAGACCCAATAACTCTTGAGATTCACTTGTTGATTGTTTTTATTCAGTAAAAGTTGGAAATAATAATAGAATAGAATGATTGCTTCAACTTTTAACCATATGAAATAAAGTTTTTATTTTAACAAATCATTACACTAAAGATGAAAAAACAGAACTTTGGGAAACAGCTGTTTTTTATTTCTCTCCATGCTTTATAATCATGTTAAGAAATTTCTTGGATTGTGTTCATTTGTTTAATATTCTTAAACACATGTGCAAGTACAAAGTGGGCACTTTCCTAGGTTATGAACTATCATATCCAATATTAGCCGTATGTGTTGTTATTATTATAAATACACAATTATGTTACCTAACAATGATTAAAAAATATGAATGCAGGTGGATTATTTATCATATCAAGGAGATGATTTATCAAGCATTCTCTATAGAATTGATGAATCGGACTTCACGTTCGAGGGTTTGAGAATGGACGGACATGATCAGCTCGGAGAAATATCGACGATGGAGGATGCGGAGGATATAATGGTAATTTCAGATGAATCGGAGCAAGGTAACAATAGTCATAAGAAAGAGAAGAAGAAGAAGAACAAGAAGAAGAAGCAAGAGAGCAATTACTTGCCTGGGATGGTTCTTTCATCACTTGGTAATAGAAGAAAAGGTGCTCCTCATAGGGCTCCTTTTTCATAATTATAAAACAATAAAATCATAGGGAAAAATCATTTACATATATTTAAAAAATAAGCATTCCATATAAATATGTATCGTGTTTCTTTTATTAGGTATATCTTGTAACGGGTACGATAAAATAAGTAGTACTCTTTTATCACGAAAATGTGTTTAGTTATTTGTGGGGTTTTTTTCTTTCTATTGTGGGTAATGTGAAATTAGCTTCTTACTTGTATTTGTTGATGAATTATTGGTCTCTTCATGAATAAAAGAAGTTGTATGTGATTTTGGTACTTTATAAAAGTATATTCGTCGTAATAAGTGTAGACTAATAAAACTAAAGAAATTAAAAAAAAAAAAAAAAAAGGGAAACGACTCGTAGTTTGGGTAAATTTCATTGGGAGAGGGAAGAGACGACGACAGGTTTTCACGGGGACAGCTGAAAAGTCTTTGCTGCGTCATCAATTACATCAACACCGTTTTTCTAATTATATTATATAAATAAAATGTTGTCTACTTTCACCAGAAACAAGCAATAAGTTTTCCATTTAAAAGTGGTATCAATTTTATGTTTTGTGTGTTGATATCATAGAGATTAATTTGATATATACACAGAATGTTACGCTTAAAGGTGTTTTTCTGTTACGGTCATTTGGATTTCGACAAAGGATAAAATTACAAAAAATGGCGATTTTGATTTTTTTTTGTTGCATAAAATGTAAATTATATAAAGCGGAGTACCACAAATATATGGAGTCTAAACATATTTAACTCTTGTATTTTAAGAGTATGTTAAACACATAAAACCTTAGTTTTTTTTGTGCGAATTGTTTATTTTGCAAACTATATAGGTATTATTGGATTCAATTTTCAGTAAAACAACTAAGTTTTTTAGATTTATTTTCAAAGATACCCCAAAAAAAGAACACTCGTAAAACCTATTTCTGCTGCAGTCTTTATACTCTCTTTTTTTTTTCCTTTTTCAATTTAGTAATTTTAATAGTTAATACTATTAAAAAGAAAGAAAAAAAAAACTTACAGTAATTCTATTATAAGATAAGTCTATTAAATTTTTAAGTTTATCCATTTTACAGTAGGTCATCTGGTCATGTGTAGAGACTGCACAATATTGATTTAAAAAATATAAAATACATTGGTTTTCTAGTCTAGTGAGTGATAGTTTTCAAAATCTAATTAGTGGTTCTGAAAAATGTTTATATTATGCTTTATTCAATTAATTTGTAGGAACTCTATGTTTGTTTTACTTGCAATTGTATCTTAGGATCCCTTCATCGGGAATTAAACCCACCTCATGGTCGGGCTATTTTATCAATAGTTTCTTATGAATAAAAACAATTGTGGGTTATAAAAACATTTCAAAGGAAAAAAAAAAAAAAAAAAAAAAAAAAAAAAAAAAACATTTCAAAGGACAATTATGCAAGCACCTTAAATCGTTTTTATAGACATCAGGAGGATCTTTCTTAGACCATAAAATTCCAAACCGGTGATAAAAATATTTCCCGGGAAAATAAAATTCATAAACTATATAGGTATTATTGGATTCAATTTTCAGTAAAACAACTAAGTTTTTTAGATTTATTTTCAAAGATACCCCAAAAAAAGAACACTCGTAAAACCTATTTCTGCTGCAGTCATTTTAACACTCTCTTTTTTTTTTCCTTTTTCAATTTAGTCATTTTAATAGTATTAACTATTAAAAAGAAAGAAAAAAAAAAACTTACAGTCTTACAGAAATAACTTTTCAAAACTTTCGTACAAGAAGGACATGATTTAGTGATCTAATTAGCTTCTCCAGTGATAGACAAAAAATAAATGTCACGTGTGCGTAATTTAGTGAAAAAAATTAAGGAACAGTTTACTAAATTTAGGGCAAAAAAAAAATTAGAGAAAAGTATGATAATAATAGTATGTCGTAAGAAATAAAAGGGGATTATTCAGAGATTGATGAGGATAAAAAGCACATGGTCGGTCCACTTCTTCGTATTAGGTTTCCATATTTGTAACAATCTATGCAACAGTTTTGTAGCATAAGGCCATTGGCGTACATACAGTAGGTGGCAAAACGGGCTTTTGACACGTGTCTTTCTCTGCCAAAAATGCCTTCATGTTCTTCTCCTCCACATGCAAATGCAATGGCTTTGGGCTTAATATTTTTATAAGATAAGTCTATTAAAATATTAACTAGTAGCTAACTTAGTAAGACTTAATAGCTATATCTATTCATACCAGTAATTGATAGCAAATGATTTTCTTTTTCATTGGAAGCAAACAAACTTTTGGTAGTATCTTAATTATACTGGTCCCCTTTTTAATCCAGATTAGTTACTATACAAGAAAATATAGTAATTGATTTTTCCATTATTTATCATTATTTTTTATCATTAATTTTCTTATAATTTTTTACCATGACTAATTTAAATATTTTTATTAACTTTTATTTAACACTAATTTTTAATTAATATGGAAAATATTATGAAACAAAAAAAGTAAACAGTTTTTAATAAACTGCAGGAAGAAATATTTTTAGAATTCTACTAGAAATGTAGATGATTTAAATATAATATATGATTTTTTTCAACATTTTTTTTTGGTGAGGATCTATCTGATTTTTTTTGTACAAAATAAGAAAGAAATAGGGATCTAATTATTTGTCTATCGGAGAGATGGGTTCCCATTCAGACTTTCTCAAGAACCATGCCAATTGCCACCTGACTCCTGACGTTTCTTTTATATATATAAAAAAAACTACACATTTCAATAATATCATAGAATACATATTTCATTAGATTATTTAGGATGTGCACCAAAAAAAAAAAAAAAAATCCTATAGTAGTACATCTTTAATTTATTGTTTTATGTTTGTTTTTCCTATATTGACTGCAAAATTTCATATGATTTTGAACATTTGAATTTTTTTTTATAAATGATACAAAAAAAATTGGGGTCACTTTCGACAAATATATATTTATACAATATGAGTCCATACACTAATACATTACTATATATATTAATTTATAAGTAAATATGATAATGGATATGTATCACCTGGACAGCCTGTGCTTCAAGGCACAAGAGGTTCGAGGTAGTCGGACAGATAGGAAACAATAGGACGTGTGTGTGTGTCATACAGCCTTTTTAGTTGCAGAAGTCCACTAAGATATCTCTTTCTCTATCGTCGAAAAAAAAATATCTATATCATTATTATTTATTTATTTTTACCAAGAAAATATATTATTTATGCTAACTTATATTTATGTATACATTCTATGATTTTATACTAGGCACTGCAAAAGCAACAAGTCTCTGATGAGGGCAAACAACTAATGCAGAGGAACACATGAAGATGAGATGTATGCGGAAAAACGTTTTGGAAGTATAATTTAAGTTAATTAGGTTGATGGCCAAGTTTGTTCAAAATTGGTAAAATTCGAGTGGCACATGAAATATAGAAAAAGTTCGTGTACATTTTCATCCCCTTGAAAGAATTTTGCAAATACACATTTTTCTATAGTCATTTTTTTTTTTCAATTTATACTATGATAAATTTTGGAGATTACTAAAATTGATATTCAGAGTTTTTGTGAAGTGTTTAGAGGTTTGGAGTGTCCAAATCTCGTGGAATTTCTTTGTCTCGTTTTTCTCCAATATCACTCCAAATTTTAAAATAATACTCAAATGTTTGAAAAATTGAAACAATTATATTATTTTGTATAAGTAAAGTGTAATTGATTTGCTGGGAACTTCTTTTAAAATAATCTCACAACAATTCTACTATTCGACATATCCATTATTAAAATTTGGTAATCAAGCACAATATGTTTTTTTAATCACCCATTAGTGATTTTAAAAAAAAATGTGTATGTTAGGTTCGAACCTCCCGTCTCTTCAGAGTTCAGATAAGTGGCTTATAATGATATAACCACAATTAAGCCTCAAACCAAGTTTCGTATGACTCATTATTTTCGTATCATGTGAAATTGTGAATGACGATAAAACATCATAGTATTAAATGGTGGTGATAGATAAAGTCATAAAACTAATCAAACAAGGTTTACAAACATGGCTCATGTCTGAAAAATAATGAGAGATACCAAATGTATATGCAAATTGATTATTTATTTTATATTTTCCTGAGATCATGAAAAGTTGCAAGGAGTTTTATCGCAACAAATTGCAAGTCAAAGAAATATTTTTATAAGATTTATTTTCTTATTTCTTATTTCTTATTTATATCTAATAATGTGGAAATTTTGATATAAGAATTTTTTATCTAGTTTTTGTTAAAGATTAAATTACAATATTGGATTTAAGACTTTAAATTTTTTTTTAATAGTTCTCAAAGTTAGTTTTTCTCTAATCAAGCCTTTTTGACTTTAATTAATCTTAAAGCCTCTATAACTTGAAATTGATTGTATTGGAACCTTGTGTATTTAGTTATTCATAGATTCCTATGCATTACAGTTATTTGCGCAGCGATGTTTTCTTGTCGTATCAATATGCTTATTCCGCAAAATTCGAATACTCGTTAAGTCAAATCTCTATAACCGTAATAGGAGTTTAAATTAAAAAATAGTTAACAGAATGAGTTTCATTTCGAATACTTGTTCCAAGAAAAAAGAAAGAGAGAAAGAGTTAAGGCATATGGTATGATAGAAGCTTTTGACCATTTACTCAATCATTTATGTAAATGGAACCTACATGATGTCGATATCTTTGTAATGTGTAGGCTTCACTCTCTAAAGGACCCACGTAATTATTTTAGAAAGATATATAGTAAAAATACAAAAAATGAGCAATTATAAGTATTTTAATTTATTTTATTGAGTTTTCTTAGGATGTCCCCTCTATGCCCATGACAATGACTATGCACCTTAGTTATAAACTACAAACCCCTATTTTTGAGACACAATAAAAGAGATACAAAAGCTTTCAAGAAGAAAGCAAACTTATCTCAAGGAGAAACAAATTGCAAACACATATAAAGGGCTTGATGTAAATGTAAACAAAAATTTTTTTGCCTCCTTTAATATCGCGAGACTTAACAAAAATTACTTCTAAAGCATATGACATGAGACTTGAAAAATCAAGTAATCCTTTATTTGCCATTTTGTTTTTGAGTCACAATAACCATTTATGTGCATGTATCTCTCAACTAAGCAATTGTCTCTAAAGCTTTGAGACAGTGATTATATTTGTTAACTAATTAATAGATCAAGATCTTTGGTTTATTTCCCTTAATATTAGATCATTGGTTTTGCTTTGG